CTCTTCCCCTCACATCCACTATACGTTACTAATTACAGAAACATTAACATCAGTCACAATTAAAAATATTAGTAAAAACAAACATAAGAGCTTGTAAGTAATAGTGTTCTTTTCTTTATATATAGAAAATAAAATAAATTTGAAGAAGTATTGTTTAAATAGAAAATTAATTCAGATAAAATTTACGAAATCTTTGATTATATTAAAAAAAATTAAGAATTTAGAAATATAATAACTTTGACAACAAGAAGTCAAATTCTACAATTCATTAATTAGATTGACTTGATTCAAGATAATAAATATTAATAAAAATTATTTTTATTTAATTTAATTCTAAAATATATAAAAAATTATTAAAATTTTAATACTTTATAAATATTTTATTTAAAAAATTTAAGCCTTAAGGCCCGAAGGATTACTGGCAAAAAAAAAAAAATGCCAGATAGATTGAACCAAACTTTAGACAAAGATTTTAAAAAGTGAATTGAATTTAACCGTTTCATGAACATATTTAAGCAGTTGACACTTTCTTTAAGAGGATACATGCTCTAGAAAGAAAATTACAATACTAATTTTCAGCTCCATAGAATGTAAATGGGAATTAAGTACGTTTCAATTTTTTTTTTCATCTTCTGGAGTATTAGAAATTTTATTAATTCCTAACGAATATTGATTAAAATGATAAAAAAAAAAGTATATTCCTTTATTTGTTATTTGAATTTGAATTTATTAAAATATTATAAAAAAATTATTTTTTATGAATTTATTAAACCTGACGTAAATAAATTTATTTGAATAAATTGGAAAATAAAATATACTAGATGAGACGTAAGAACCTTTTGCCATTAAATAAAAAAAATTTTGTCAATTCCCATAATTATCTTTCACAAAATTGTTTCCTTATTCGTGAAAACTGGCAAAATAAATTGCAATTCCAAAAGTAACAATATAAAAGATTTGATCCTAGCTAGCTAATAAAATCATTCATTGTCTGCAAACTGCGTACCTAACTGATTTCTCCGAAGTTTTAAGTACGTAAGTGGTTCTTTATTTTATTAATTATAGTATCCTCCAAGAAAATGTCTTCAAAACTACGTCAATTAAACAAGAAAAAAAAAGTATACCAGTGTGGACATTTTTATAAGATAATTTTTATTATTGTTTGTCTTCCATGAATGTATCGTGGATTTGTTAGGATAATGATGGCCTAGTTGAGAGAAGGAATGGTAGGTTATAATTAATTTGAATGATTAAAAAGACAAGGGTTAGATGAAAGAAATTGTGTGCCCATCATGGCCATCTAAAACCGGCAGTTCCATAATTTAATGGCACACGAGATATATAGATTTTACTTTAATTACTCTCTCTCTCTCTCTCTCTCTCTCTCTCTCTCTCTCTCTCTCTTCAATCAATTTTACTTAATTCCTTTCATTAGTTTGTTGATAAGATATGCTTCTTAAATAATGATGATATTAATGATGATTATTTAAAGTGAATGCCCACTCGTCATCCCACTAACTCCTATCTTCCTCATCTTTTTTTATGAACAGAAAAAAAAAAAAAAAAAAGCTTTGAGTGGGTCCCTTAGTTATAAAATTTCAAAGGAAATTGGCCCATTAATTTTTAAATAAATTGTTATATAAAAATTATAAATTCAAAAAATTAATGTACTAATTTTTTCTTTACTGATTTTTAGATAAATTAATATTTGAAGATTATTACGTACGTAATTTTTTTTTTTAGTTATGTAAATATATAAGTAGTAATGTCCTTGCTAGATATGTAAATATAAAAGTCGAAAGCTTAGAAATAAATTAAAAATTAAAAAAATGAAAATCTAAGGGAACCTCATTTTTTTGGGAAAGAAATAAACCTAAAATATTATAAAATTTCGAAGAAAAACTGCTCTTCATGTATTCGTTGAAACAAATGTATTGATAAAATAAAAAAAATTGTCATAAATTTTATGTGTGTGTAATAATATGTACATTGATAGTGATATTGTTTGATATTTTATGAGGGATTATTATTTTAATATTATTGAAATGTATTTGAAATAAGTTTATCTTAAAACAAAATTAAAAAATTTATAAAATAGATAACTTTTCTTAAGAAAAATCATGGGCTTGCTAGTGTGGAAATTATTCTTTACCATGAGGCAAGAGCTGGAGTTAAATTAAAACAAAAAAAAAATTATTTGGGGAAGAGAGGACCAAACTAAGGCATATTAATTTCTTATGGTTCATATTGATTTTTCATAATTACTTACTTTTTAAATTATAAATTATTTAACATCAATATTATAAATAATTTTGAAAATTAATAAAAACCTTAAAGTCAAATACGTGAATATTCAAATTGAAAAGAAAACAGTATCTCCTTTTAAAATATATTTTATTTTCATTTAAGATATATTGATTAACTTTAACAATTGATTTATATATATATATATATATATATTTAGTTCTAAATTATTCATTTGATGTATTTTGTTTTTTATACTTTTATTTATAAATTGATAAAATTTATTTGAGCTTGTTATTTTTTATTAGTTCATTACTTGTATACATCTTTTATATTACTCTTTTTGTCCCAAATTATTTGAAAATTTTTTACTTTAATATATTTAATATTAAATTTTTATAATTTTTAATGTCAACAAATAAATAAATTTAAAATATAAAAAATAATTTTTTTAAATGTTTTAAAAAATACATTATTTTGGAACATAAAAAAACAAAAAATAAAAGAATAATAAATGTAATAAAATACCTCAAATGAATTCCTAAAATCAAATGTCTAATGCTTGCCTCTTATATATTAAAGTAAACAAAGACAACTTTATTTAACTTTTCTTATTGCATTTGCATGCAATATAGACAAAGCATATGAAAAATAAAAAGATAAATAAATTATTATAATAAAAACTAGAGTTGATAATTTATATTATTGTATCGTGTAAAGTATATAAAAATTATTTATATCAACATCAAAATATAAAATATAATTTTTTAATTTTATTAAATTTATTTATAATTTTTTAAAAAATTTAAATCATATTAGTTTTATATTTTTTATTTATATTATTTTCACCCGTATCTTTTTTAAAATTATAAAACATTTACATCTCTTGTCCAAACAATCATGGCAGAGACAATGCCGAGTAAATTAAATTGTCTGTCTGGAGGATTTAATTAACAGTAAATTTTTACCGGTGAACTCAGCCTGCTGAGCTAAGTATGATGCACAAAGTTTTTTTTGTCAAGGTTCTTTTCTTCTCCTTTTTTTTTTTTTTTTTACCTTCTGATTTTGGTAGCAGTCTTTTCTCAGTGAAAAGGCAGTGCAGTTTGCTGACTGCTGACTGCTGACTGCTGAGGAAAGGCCAGCCCAAATTTGGCCATACCATCAAGCGTCAGAACTAGAGCACACATGCCAGATTCAAGAAAAAGATAGAAACTGCTTCCCCCCAATGATCATCTTGACCAATTTTTTTTTTTTGTAAACAATCATATTTAATCATCATTGACAATGGGATAAATGAATTTTGAGTGAAAGTCTTCGTACTTATTGATAATTCATCTCGATAAATGAATATTTCATTTCATCTCAACACTATGAGTGATAAAATCTCATTGATAATTCATCAAAATACTTAAATATTTAAGGAAAGATGTATCAACATCTAGATGTTAATTAAAAAAAAAAAAGAAAAGAGGAATATATTATCTAAATTCCACCATATTTACTTGTATTACCAAAAGACTAAAGAGCAAGGTTGGAAAAATGAGCAGTTCACACCAGCAAGTTGGGGGCTAGCTGGTCACCAATTGATTGAATCTAATGATAACTGAGTCAAAACTTTGACTGTACTTTTCTTTACTAGCTTAGGGTAATTGATTGATTCAATTGCCCAATGGTGACCCTTCAATGGTCACTCATTGATCAGACAAATCACATTCTTTTCTGCTACATTTTTTCATCGACAAAAATAAATTTACAAAGCACTGCAATATTTCATCATTAAATTACAGTGCATTAGGGAGTTGGATTAGAAGATTCTCACTCAGTCGTAAAATATATTTAGATCTCCAATCATACTCTTAAATGAAGTTTTAATGGTTGAAAGTAATTGTAATTCTATTTCAGTGTTATTATTAGCCTCATTTTAATTTGAAGCCAAAATTTTTAATTTTTTAAAATAACAAAGATATCTTTGCTCATAGTAACTATCATGGGATATATACTAACATAAAATTCATTTTTGGATATTATTAATTAATTAATTAGATGAAAAATATTAGCATTCAATATTTTCTTATTGGTGGGTGCTTTGGAGAGTGGATGTCATTGTGTTTTTCAAGTGCTTTATCGTCTAGCTCTTTGCATCCCATTGCTACCACAAAAATTACAAGACAAAAAAAAAATTAAAGAAAAAAACGATCATAAAGGAAAGAAGAAAAAGCAAATGCAAGACAAAGAGATGTTTGGATAGAGCTTTGAAAAAGCCAAACAAGCCCCAAAGGTGAGTGACTTCTCTAATCCCTTACTCCACTTGTTGCTCACTATTATTAAGCCTTCTCTAGAAATGGACATCTCGTTTTTCAGCAGCTTGTTTATGCTGTAGATAGCTGCCCCACCTTTTTTTTTTTTCATTTTTTTTTAATCCTTTTCTTCTTTCTCTCACATTAAATTTATGTGCTTCCTTCTCAAAGGTGCCTGCATCATATGATTTCAAAAAGTAGGATCAAGTGACTCCAAGTCACTGCAATTTTCTTGTTCATTCCCAAAATCTACTGCTGGCACCTAACACTAGAAGAGATAAGATAAAAAATGGGAGAGTACAAAAAGCAAAAACAATTTATCAAACAGTGAAATATTTATTTTCTTTTCTTTTTTAATGATCTCTCCCAATGAGAAACCAGCAAAAGCCTATACTGTATTTTGGAAGGAAAAAACCAAAAGAGAGAAAAAGAAACAGGTGGGTATCATTTTTTTTTTTGCTTTATAGTTGAGGGTCTTGAAACCACATCTCTCTCCTTTCTCTTTCTATTTCTTTGTTATCATATATTTATACACTGAAAGGAAGAAAAATAGCAAAGAATATGAGTCTGACAAGATCATCAGCAGAACTATATACACCCAAAAGCCTAAAAAGATTTTCTTCCATGATAGACATTTAGACAAACGTGTGTGTGCGCTCTCAGATGCCTCCTCTCTCGTGTGTTTTTAGCCATAATTGGATTGGAATATGGTACTTTGCCTGTCTCTGCAACATCCCTTGATGGGTTCCTTTCTCTTCTATTTTTTTATTTTATTCCTTATCAGGACTGATCTTTTCTTTGATAGTTTTTTTTTTTTATATATATAAATTTTTATTTTGTGTGTGTATGTCGCTCTTGATGAGCAAATCTATCATCTCAATACCTTAAATTTTTTGTTTCTCTTTCTCCATCTTTCTCTTTTTCTGTTTATATATAAACAACTTTCTCCGTTATTTAACATCTTTCTCTTTTCTCTTCTCATCTTTCTTCTTCACTTCATGTAAAGATAACCCGGTTTTCTTTTTTTGTTTTCTTTATTTCCAAGTTATAGTTTCAGATCAGGATTGCTAAGTTTCTTTCCTTCCCAGATCATGTTCAGAAAAGCAAGGGCTATGTCCTCATCAAATTGCAATGAATTGAACATCAAAATGGGTTGATGTGTTAGCTTCAAGTCAAGCTCTAGCCTTTACAAAGTTCTTGGACATTCTTTTAAGAAAAAAACTTCTGCAGTTACCGTACACTGCAACAAGTGGTTTTTTTTTTTGGCTTTCATAACAAGATGGCGACGTACTTTCATGGGAGCTCAGAATTCCAAGCTGCTTCTGCTGCTGCACCTGATGGGATGCAAACACTCTATCTCATGAACCCGAACTACGTACCCTACTCTGACACACACCAACCAGCTATTGCCACAAACATGTTCTTCTTGAACCCGGCCAGCAACGCGCTAAACCCCACAAGCCTGCCCCACGCGCCACCACCTAACCATCACCACCTCCTCGGTCTCCCTCTCCCATCACCAACTCCTTCCATAGGACTGGCCAATTTGGATGATCCCCACCGTCCATCTCCCCTACATGGCATAATCTCCGGGGTTCACTGTAACTTATGGGGCTCGAGTATTGATCATCAGAATTCACCAGGAAGTAGCCATCCTCAAGTTGTGTCGGTAGCGGTTACAGCAGATAACTCGGGTGGGCCCCACGATGTTGCATCGCATCTGGGGTTACGTCGGCCGGTGGTGTCACCAAGGCAAGGTTTATCCTTGAGTCTATCATCCCAACAGGTGCCTTATAGGTCAAGTAATGTTGAAACAGATATCCAAGGACAACCTCAAGTTCCAACTATGCCACTGGCTGATGATATGAGAATATCTGGGAATTCACCGTCGTCGGTTTCCGTTGTTTCGAATGGGATTTCCGGGGTTCAAAGTGTTGTTTTGGGATCCAAGTACTTGAGAGCAGCACAAGAGCTTCTTGATGAAGTTGTTAATGTTGGGAAAGGGATAAAGACTGACGTGTCTGAGGGGACCAAGGAGAAGATAAATGTGAACAAAGAATCGGTGGCTGCTGTGACAGGAGAGGGTTCAAGTGCTTGTGAAAATGGGGCTAAACGTGGAGCTGAGCTCACCACAGCACAAAGACAGGAGCTTCAGATGAAGAAGGCAAAACTTGTCAGCATGCTTGATGAGGTTTGCTTCTCTATTTATACCCTTTCTAAGTTCTTATTCTCTTCTCTGAAATTTGATTATTGGTTTCAATGCCCGTCTCTCAAAATGCAATTTCTTGAGGACTTAAAAAAATGCATTCATTTCTTTGCTGCTACCATGTCTCAATCATGTAGTATTAATAGAGCAATTATTGATGCATTTTTAAAACTAGCACAAGGAAATTTACTGCTATTAATTGAGGAATACCATGAATAGAGTAAACATGTAGAGATCTATTATCTCACAATTTCATGCAGGGAAAGAATTCTCATTCTGCAACAGTTTTAGCTGCCTCTAATGGAAATATATTAGTATATATTATACACATTTAATAGTTCAAAATCTTGCAGTGCTTGATTTTCAACAGACAAGATAATGTTTGATATGATAAATATATATAGAATTTGGTTAGTTTGGGTTGGGACCCTCTTAGTCATGATCAAGCATTCGAAAACGTTGAGCTGTCACCAAAACTTGTGGAGAGTGTATTTCTTTTCTTTTATGCCATGGTTTCTATTGCTTCACTAGGCGTGCATGCTTGGCCTAGAGGTATGGTGCAGGTAGACTGAGTCTATTGGCTGCAAAATCTATTTCACTTAAGACAAAATTTGGTACCTCTAGTTGAAAGTGATTTTAATTTGCTGAACGATTCCAGTACATATTTGTAACATTAAAGATCTGTACTTACTTTGCATTGTTCATTTTTAATTTTAATTGTCAAGGTAAATTCTTATGTAGATTTATACTGATTTTTTTAAAAATTTTCCTTTGGTTATGAACGTGAAGGTGGAGCAAAGATACAGGCAGTACCATCACCAAATGCAAATTGTGGTTTCTTCGTTCGAACAGGTAGCAGGATTCGGTGCAGCAAAATCGTATACAGCCCTTGCTTTGAAGACAATTTCAAAGCAATTCCGGTGTCTTAAAGATGCAATATCTGGACAAATCAAAGCCACAAGCAAGAGTTTAGGAGAAGACGATTGCTTAGGTGCAAAAGTTGAGGGTTCAAGACTAAGGTATGTTGATCATCAGCTTCGACAACAGCGGGCGCTGCAGCAGTTGGGAATGATCCAACACAATGCTTGGAGACCCCAGAGAGGATTACCTGAACGAGCTGTTTCTGTTCTTCGTGCTTGGCTTTTCGAGCATTTCCTTCATCCGTATGTACTTTCTTTGACTAATAATAAATCTGAACTAGAAATCCTTTTAGATGATATCATATATAGATTACATTTAGCTCATTCGAAATTCCTTATCTTTTGTGGTGGCAGGTATCCTAAAGATTCAGACAAACATATGCTTGCTAAACAAACAGGGCTTACAAGAAGCCAGGTATGTTCTCTCACTTCATTTCCATATCTATTTACTGTTTCTAATTTCTTTGATCATTATAGATTCTTTATCATCATAGGGAGGGAATGAAGTAGTTGGTATTCAATTTAACTTGAAATGCATGCAGGTGTCAAACTGGTTTATAAATGCTCGAGTTCGGCTTTGGAAGCCAATGGTTGAAGAAATGTATTTGGAGGAAGTCAAGGAACAAGAAAGGAATGGCAGTGAAGAGAATGAAAACAAAAGTGAACAAAAGGATTCAGGGTCTAGCTCCAGTGCCCAGCAAGAGGATGTGACAACAAAGATACAAGTTAAAACTCAATCCAAGCCTGACAAATCCATCAACCAGAATACTTCCCCTACTGAATTTTCCAACTCCACAATCTCCACATCTCCCATGGGAGGGTCCCTTCTGCCACAAACAGCCTTCAATCTCATTGGATCTTCTGACCTTGATGGTGCTGCTCAAAGAAGTCCAAAAAAGCCAAGGAATATTAATGACTTGCAGAATTCTCCTAGTAGCATCCTTGCAATGGACATGGACATGAAGCAAGGTGAAATAAGGGAAATCAACATGAAGTTAGGCGATGAAAGGCTAAGTTACTCATATCTAACTGGAACAGCTTACAGTACTATGCGAGAGATTGGGAGGTTTGATCATGAGCAGCTGCCACCAGGGTTTCATGGGAACAGTGTTTCCCTCACCCTTGGCCTGCCCCATTGTGAGAATCTCTCTCTCTCGGGGAACCAACAAAACTTCCTATCAAACCAGAGCATTCAGCTAGGAAGAAGGTTAGAATTAGGACCAAGCGAATCTGATTTCAGTGGGATCAACACCCAACAAGTTTCTCATTCTAGCACCGGCTATGACAACATTGAGATGCAAAACAGGAAAAGGTTTGCTGCGCAATTGTTGCCAGATTTTGTGGCCTGAACAGAATCCAAATTCACAATGAATTCGCTTTCAATTCTATCCGCTGATGGGCTATATATATATGTGTGTGTATTACTTCTTTCCCTTCTTGAAAAACTTCAGGTAAGTTAAATCACGACTCTGAGCGTGCACAAAGAACAGTAAGATAATCTTTCCAAGTTCAGTTCCTATTTATATCATGCTTGCTCTTATACAAAGAGAAGCATGCCTACTGTAAAGATAAAGAAGGATAGCTAGTATATATATATATATATAGGTAATATACTTGCAATGCAGTAGTAGTATATATATATATAGGTAATATATATTTTTACATAGTTTAGACTTGAATTAGTAAGCTTGAGCTTTGTATATCATATTGATACATTTGGATATTGATATTTGAAAGATTTTAATATTATGGGTATGCAAATTGGTTATTGGGGTGCATACTATCAATATTCCATTTGTATGAATACATATTAATTCTAGTAGTTATACATATATATATATATATATATATATATAGAAAGTATTATCTACTTACACTAATGTACGAATTACACATTTTTTAATTTTTTGGATCAAAATTAAATTTATAAATTATATATATATAGTTTTATGTGTGGTTGTGAGTTTGCACTTGCGAAATGTTTGGTAGGACTTTTTTTTATATGAAAAAAGTTTTGAAATTCCATGAACTGAAACAGAAAACCTTAAAGGAAACCTTTTTCTTGTCAAATACAAGTTAAGCAGTGAGAGCAACTTAAAGGAATGACAAATATTTGGTCTCCACAATTTATTACATTAGGTTAATAGCTAGGAAGTGCGATTAATATGGTCATTCCACGGATTGATGTCATCTTAGACCACGTTTTAGGGCAAACACTTTAATAATACCTAAGATATTTTCCATTTTTTTTATTATTCTTGACGGTTTAAGCTGAAAATTTGAACTTCATTTGTTGAAATTAAAAGTTTAATATTTTATTAACAAATTACTTAATTATCGAAATTTTTTTCTTTTTTTTTTATTTTTTTAATATGAAAAAAGAGAGATTCAAACTAGAGGTATAAATATTACATTAGTATTTACAAGTTATTGAGATTTAATTTGAATAAAATTTGAATTCGGTTTAGTTATTATTAAATCGAATTCGAGTTCGAATAGTTTAACTTATTGATCGGGTTAAATTCGAGTATTCTTATATTCGATTCAAGTAATTCGTGAGTTTAATCGAGCTTTTATATTTTAATATATTTTAATTATTTTAATTAATAAAATATATCAAACTCGAGTTTAAATTTGAGTACAAATAATCAAATTTTTTTCAAATATAAAAATCAAATTTATTTTTACATGTTAATCGAGCTTAATCGAATGAGCTCGAGTAGATCGATTTTTATCTCAAATTGAATTTGAGCTAAAAAAATAAAATTCAATCAAGTTTGAACTGAGTTACAAGTCTTGAATTTGGAGTCGAACTCTAATTTAAATTTAATACTGTATCGATTTAAATTTGATTGATTACACCTTTAATTCAAACCCATTTTTATATTTTTGAAGTTAATAAAAAATGAAAACTTGGTCTGTTTGGTCTACAGACATTTCAGAACAATTTAACACTATAATTAAGTTTCACGTTCCAATTCTAAAACAGCCATAAGAGATGGAGTTTACGTGAGACTAGAGATGATTATCTCTTATTATGTACTCCGCAAAATTAAATATATTTTGATCCTTTGAATATAATTTTTCTAGTTAGGACACACCAAACTTCGAAGTTTGAATAATAATTTTTTTTCATTTAAATGTTATTATTAGTTTCATTTTCATTTGAAATACGTGCTTTACAAATATTTTGATCATAAACTCATTAATTATAATTAATTTTTAGTTGTTAAACAAAAATGATAAAAGATGGGCCCCTTTCTTCGGTTTTTTTTTTTTTTTTGATCCAAAAAAAGATGGGTCCTTCTGCAACAAAGACTTTGGGTTTTGTAGTGTTTTACAAATCTCAATTGTATGGGCTGCGCTTCAAAATGTGAAAGCCTAAGAAAAAATAAAAATAAAAAAGCCCTGGATTTGTTGTGCGAACTGTGAAGGAAAGAGAGCCAAAAAAAAAAAAGGAAAGAAGAAAATGGAGAAAGGAGCAGAAGCCAATTGGAGTGAGGAAGTAGAGGATCTGGTCTCTGCCGGAGACACGCAAGGCGCTATCTCCTTCCTTGAAAACCTCCTTTCCAATTTCCAGACGACGTCATCTTCTTCGTCTTCGTCTTCCGACGACCTCCGATTAACCTCTGTTCTCTCTGAGTTAGCCTCTCTCTATTCCTCCGTTGGCTTCTCCCTCAAGTCCGACGAACTTTTGTCACGCGCTTCTTTCCTTAAACAACGCGCCCACTCTTCCAGGTTTTCTGTTTCTTTTTTCTTTTTCAATTTTTCTTGTCAATGGAAATAATTTCTAGTATAAATTTCCTGCCTTTTTTTTTCCTTTTTAGTTTCAGCGATGCAGGGCTTGCTAAGAATGATTTAAAGGAGGATACTTTATCAACGCCTGATGTTTCTTTCGCTAGAAAGGGCAAGCCTTTGACTCATGGTGCAACTCAATATACTAACTCTTTAGCTTAACCTACGTTTGATTGTTGCTTTTGCTACTTGTTTTTGGTTTCCCAAAGAAATTATAGTGTTTTGGTGCTTTAATATGCTAAAAAGTTTGCTTCTATAGCTTAGTAGATTAATTATGGGAATAACTAATGTGTTTGCGTTTTAGAGGTTTTTATTGCATTTATATCTAAGAATTATGTGGAAGTGAATTATAGTTCTTTTTGTTGCAAAAGGCAATCTTGAAAAATTACCAATATCAGGTGATGATGGTTCACCACCCAAATCATCTTCAGATGATGGTATGTTTTGTTTCCGTAGCATTTTTTCCTTCTTAATGATCTTGATTTTTTGGTTCTCTGTTATGTCTGCATATTTGTTTATGAACAACCTGTTATGAAATTGCAATTCGGATGGTTTGTGCAGATTGGGAAGCGATTGCAGATCGCGAACCAAATGTATTACTCTCCTCTGAATGCTTGCCTGGAGTATCAAATCTTTCATTGGAGGATAGCAAAGTTGAAGGCCCTAAGAGACGGGGAAGGGGAACATTTTCTTATACAAAAGGTGAATTGTATAGTGATCAACTCTTTGACGTGGCTGCCTCCAAGGATACAGAAAATGAGGATGTGTGCATAAACTCCGAAACAAAGACATTGGAATGTAAGCCTACATGTCTCTAGATTCTAGGTTTTGTTCTCTCAAATGCTCTATATATGCACATTTGTTCCTTTTATGGTAGTCCAAGTTTTTTACCTCTAAATGTAGAAGATAGATAGCTCAGTCTTTTCTTAAATGAAACCTAAACGTGTGTTTACTTGCTTGTTCCCAGACCTTGATCTAATGGGATGTAGAATGCTATTCAGACTAAAATATTTAATGCTGTCTTGTGAATGGTGACTTATTTTTGGCTTCTCATGTCTTCCTGATGATTTTGAGTTATTTATGGTTTTTTCTCTTTTTCCCCTTGGTGGGTTAAACTCGTGAAATATATCCATTTAACAATTTGAGTGTGAAATGTGCTGTACAAGGTACTTAATAACTTTGTGTTATCTAACTTTTATTGCAGTAGTTGGCCAATTTTTTCTCTCAGTGAGATAAATTAAAGTCACAACAAGGAGCCAGAAACAAGTTCTTTCATGGATTTGAATATATTAACGTTAAACCTCTGAAACCTTGATTGATCAAATTGGAAGGCAGATTTTAGTTTAATAGTCAATACTCATATTATCATTTTTTGTAACGTCATTCTAGGTCTTGCTAATCTTTTAGGGATGCAAATTCTTTTCAATGCAGCTAAATATGGCACACATCATGTTCTTGTTTTGGCTGACTTTTCGCCAACTACTAGGACAACAGACCTGGAGAAGCTTTTTGAGGACTTCAGAGACCGTGGAGTTGTTATTTGCTGGGTCAATGATACGACAGCCCTTGCAGTATTTCGAACACCATCTATTGGTAACAATTACTAGCTTCGTTTATTGATGCTTCTGTTAAATAGTTTAGTTATGTGTGAAATAGATCTCTATATTTAGTTTGAGGTAGTGGATTATTATTTTTTAATCTTTCCATGAGTTTGACAAAATGGAATCAGTATCATCACGGTTGTAGCTCTTTGATGTGCATTGTTCAAATTTGTACCTTTCAAGTTATTAGCTTGAAGTGCTTAGTGACCTAGGTTTTCAGCTTCTCAGTTGGTGATTATTTTTAGAATAGCTACTCAATCGGTGCTTTGGTGCTGCTCAAAGTGCTTCAGTACTGTAATGAGGAATTTATCCTGTTTTAGATGATTTGGAAGAGAGTTTTTGATGTTATCCATACTAGGTTTTATGTCTTGTCCAGGATGCTTTTTCAAATTACCTTCAGAATGATGTTTAATTTGTTGCTGAGGAAGTGGCCAGCTTTTGGCATGGTAAAATCAAGAAAGTTAATGCTGATGATGTATCTGAGATGCCTTTTTAATTCTCTCATAGTAGGCTTTCATTAATGATCTAATAATATTCTAAATGTTAGGAGCCAGTGGGAAGGGTCTTGGACTGATAAGAGATATGTCTGCATTTGCTTGCCAAAACACTGGAGGCTGTGGTCGTATCTATACTTGTATTCCAATTACCTATCCTAGCACCTCATTTCATTTAGGAACTGAAAGTGGGTAATAGTACTACCAATGATCTGTGAATCATGAAGACTTAAAAGAAATTATTGCAATTGGAGAAATATATCAATGTTGAAGATCTGGCTGGGCTTTGGCAGTAATTGTACTCTAGTATATGGTTCTTACGTTATTTCTGGTGCACATGGATTGAAGCCTTTATCTTTATATAGTTTAATCAGAAATCTGTCAGTGTTGATGCTGCACTGCTTTCAAAGTTAGATGGTAAATCAAGTGGTGATAATGGTGGTTTTTTTTTGCTATAGCCATGTGCTAATAATTGCTTGCATTCAACATCTTTAATAAGGTTCATCTTTCTTGGGTAGCTGTCTATATTTTTCAAATTTAATTGTGTGTCAATTCCTTTTCGAGCTCTTAACGTTATTTAGATGAAAGATAAGTTCTTTAGCCAATTTTTTAACTGCTTCCATCTTAAAGCCATTTTGAGATTCGAACTCAAACTTTTTGTTGGCCAAATCTGTCTTGTGATGCCTGCTTCTTTCAAAACTTGCTTCTGATGTCAAGGCTATGGGTTGTTTTCTGTCTAAAGTTGCTGATAATCCTATGTTGGAAAGGCATTGTGACTCAATATTGCTTCTTAGTGGTTTCTTTGCTGCTTTAGTGTTGTTCGTTGCCTTGTTTTGTTGCTGCTTCTTGTCAGCCTCACTGATTTACATTTTTGGCGATCTTGTTGGGCTCTCTTTGGGACTGATGGAATTCAATTATTATATTAGAAAAAGGACAATGCTTTTTTGTCCAAAAAGTTAAGGGCCCGAATGGTCTGAATAGAGATAATGGCAGGACTTGTGATGAAAATAAACTTCAATGGCATTTATTTGTTGTTTCTATTCGAACCATTTTGAGAATCTAGCATTGTCCTTAAAAAAAAGGGTAAAACATTTTTGAAGTGCTTCAATCAGCTTGCAAAGTTCTGCACTAATAATTTTATTTCACTAATGATCTCAATTTTTGAAGGCAGCTCTTGAAGCTTGCAATCATGTTCGTTGTCCATTTACTGTACGAATACTTGATGAGAATGATATGCTTTTGAGCTCAATTTCAGCAAGAGGTAATTTAAATAGGTTATTTTGTTTACTTGGAATTTAATAACAGCTGTATTCCAATTTTATAAAAGCACCATACCTATTTCTTTATTCAGTGAGGCTGAGTGGTTCATTAGTTTTTTGTTTGTTCATTTATTTATTTATGTTATATATATGTTTCTCAGGTTTTCTTTATGCATTCACAATTCATTTGCTTTTGCTGAATATTATGGATTTACCACGCTGAGCTATCCATGTTGCAGTCATGCAACTTTCCTATTCAAAATATTGCTGTTATCCACTTTTCAAGTAACAAGCCTCAAGAAAAGAAAACAAAATTGCTATTCCATTGTCGGGCCAGTCTTTTATAATTTAAAGTTTTAGGGTATAGCTAATGAAGGAAGCGAATATGTGGTTAGATTAAAATTTTGATGGTGCTGAAATGTATGCTGCTGTTAATTTTCAGACCTGGAACCACCTCGCCAAAGACCGCAGACATCAGCAAGAACTGCCCAGAGGCTGATTGCTCAGGGAATGGGATTGAAATTGCCATCCTCGACCTTTGGGTCTAGAGAATTGAGAAACCAGGAAGAAGCTAGGAGGAATCGCATACTTACAAGGCAAAAATTGAGAGATGATGCCTGGGGTGATGATTGAAGCAACTGCTTTTTTTTTTTTTGTTTATTTCTGCTCATGTTAATCCAAACTGCGTTAACCAAGCAAAGGAAAAGAAAAAAACAGAGTTCATACGACTTGTTTCTCAATTCTCAAACAGGTTCTGTAAAACATAGCCAGCGATTCGTGTAACTCTTCCATGGACAAGCTGAATTTGTGAATCACTGAATGTACAAAGACTTTCGTTTGTCTTTTCTTCCTTTCTTTACGCTGAAATACCCTGTTTCTCTCTCCGTCATTTCCGCTTCCTGCAGGTTGAAGGACAGATATATTGTTTACGATTCAACTGTTTGTAATTACCTATAAAATAGTTTATTACAAAACTCTTAGTACTTTTGGCTCTCAGTTGTTATAACAGTCAACCTTACTCATCAAGGTCGTCCCTATGTGCTGAATATCTGAGCTGGATCCATTGTTTTTGAGTGAGGAGCAATCTGGAGTTTTCTTCCACTATGCAAAATGCACCGTCATCTGATCTCCGACAGTGCATTTGAGTTCTAGTAGTGATTTAAAAGGGAAACTTGGGAGTGAATATGATAGAGAATCTCCCCTGAGACGTAGCCCTGGATAAACTTCCAAGACTTTCTGTCACTTCTATTAGCCAGATCAAGTCTGTTTGCAAAGCTTGGTATGCTTTAACTGGGGACCAATCCCTCCTTGGCATGTATGCTGCTCGTGCAAACAATAGGAATCCAGGCATCATATTTCACAGTGTTTGTCTAAAGCAGAACAAGTTGTATTTCCTTGACTCTGGAGATGGACCTGACCTGAATTGACTCGAAGCTAAAATCTTTTATTCTTGAATACCAGGTGGTTGGTTCATGAAATGGCCTCGTATGCATAGCCGATGCAATTTATTTCAACCCTATGATTGTATGCAATCCTTTCACTCGAAATTTTGTAGAATTGCCCAAGGCAAACGAGTATCCTGGACGAGAGGTAGCTGTTGGATATGGTTACCATCCCACAACAAAGGAATACAAAGTCGTACGGTTATTATGCTTTGTTAACACTGATCGTGGATGCTGGTTAATGAAATCAGATTTCCAGGTTTTCGGCCTTTGTACAGACAAATGGAGAAGCTTGGGAAGGCTTCCTTTGTCACTTGATCAAAATCCCTCCGAAGCATTGCTAAATAGGGCTCTCCACAGGGTGACTACTCCCCACAACTTGTGTTCCTGGTCCTTGTCTATAGATAATCTCATTTGACATAGCAATGGAGACATTTAGAGAGATCCCACTTCCTGCTGGTGTTAGTCTAGATATTTGCAACTATCACCTGGTTCTTCTAGGATAGTGCCTTTTTGCGGCTGTTTGCGTTTCAGACGGAAGTACTGAGATATGGATTATGAATTAGAATATAATGTGAAGGAGTCATGGATCAAAGGTTATGTCATCGAAGCATATCTGCCAATTAGTCTGAATCAAACTGCCACCGTACTCGAGGCCATGTAAGAAGTCAAAACAAAGTAAAGGAGCTGTAGCTGCTCAAGCTGCCTGTGCTCTGAAGAATGGAAAGATTTTGCTGCAGTACATAAATGGAGCTTTGGTTTTGTACAACCCTGGGAATGAGGAGTTCAAAGATCTGGTCATCCCTGGGTAGCCAAAATGGTTTTGCTCAATTGTCCATGTTGAAAGTCTATTATTGTTTCAGAAAATTCAGAGGAAATGTAGTACAAACAGAAAATGTGCTTTTGCTGATCAGGCCCATGTTATTCAATCAATTACTTTCTTGAAATTCCTTCAAGCTTGAATTGATGTTATATTTTATTTTAGATAAATTTCATCGCTATAAAATAAAGCTTCGACGGATCACAAACGGATTGCCTGAATATTGAATACCTTAAACAGTTGAAAAGTTTCTTCAACATTCACACCATAACATAACAGTTACAGGCACACCAAATACCATGAATCATAAGTCCAAACATGCTGGTTATTAACATCATTGTCTATTTTTTCTTTTAACCAAAGGGAATTTAGAGGTAGGAATTGTCTGGATTTACAACATTGAAGACTTCATAATCATTACAAATGCCTGATTATCATCACATCAATGACATCTGGCAATTCTTTGAACAAATATATAAAGCTAATATCAAACGAAAAGCACCATAGAGAATACTATCATTCCAGGTAGTAGAATTTCCTTGGAACCAAACTGGCCACGAATTTCTTCTGCTTTGCTGAGTAACCTGCAAAGTGGGAAAAACGGGGAAAGAAGGAAGAAAATGAATACGTGAAAATGAAAACAAGATAAAAATTGGTAATCAGATGAAGGGTTAGGTGAAGGAAGAAAGAGTAACCCCTATATATAGTTTCATATGATTGCGGTGAAGGACAAAACACATTTCACTATTTCAATATTGAGTCATGGCAGGGGATTTAAACTTAATTAACTTGTTTATTAATACTAAGGAACCATTGAATTTGAAACTTTTTAAGTACATGGCTAGAATTATGGAAATTTTTTTTTTGATAATCCAACACAATCATTTAAGGTGCAAGTTTGTTAGGGTTTTATGCATTAATAATTGTTAACTAGTGTGTTGGACTTAAGATGATCTACTTCTAACTTATTATAAGGGCCAACTTGTTGGGGTGCAGGAAAAATAATTCATTTCAAAAAAACAAAATACATGAGATAATTGCTGGCTCATTCTCAAGTTAATAGATACACCTAAGAATACAAAATCCAATAGACTACCAACTCATTCAATTAACATCTAAAATAACTCAAGCTAATCCTGACTTTGCTTGCTGCCCTGTTTTTCCTATGATCTTTTCATACACTTCCAAACCATCTTGAATAGCAAATTATTCTAACACAACTATAGGTTTTTGTACATTGACAATCAAAAATTAAAAATATTCTTGAAAAAGAAACCCAACTCTTTAATATCTATTAGGGACACTACCGTGTTTGATTTTGTGCAAAATTTCAAGGGAAGGCTAGAAATAAAATGAGAAAAAAGAAACTTTTAGTAAACAAAAATATAAATCTAAATCTATTTGAGATATCAACAAGAAGAAACCAGTTCATTATTTCGGTGTCTTTTAGTAGACATCAAGTGTCACCTTCATTATGAACAAATACATGCAAAACATAGCCTCTTACAACCAAACCACCCCAATTTAATAGTTTGAATAAGGTAAAAAAAGGAAAGGCATATAAATTAAGAAAAGGAGAAAGCATTGTGTACTTACAAGTGGGAAGCACTCCCATCTGGGTTTGTAGAAAGATGAAACATCACTAATTAAGGATTTTAAGCACCCACTTAGGTTTGGCTTCATCATTGTCATCACCATCAGTTCTAGCGAGAAAGATGTATGGCATTGTTGGGAGGTCTCCATTTTCATTTCTGCATAAAGCCTCTACCAGCTCTTCCGAAATGTCATACAAGGCCACCTCTTTCAAATGTGATAGATGTTCCCAACCAAGTGGCAATCTCCTAAACTGTTTGCATTCCAAGATTTTTAGTCCTTGAAGACCAGGCACCATGCCTTTCTCTATCACAATCTCTTTCAACTGAGGGCAGCCCACTATTGTTAAGATCTTAAGCTTTTGGAATCCTTCAACAAAGCACAAGCACTCTCCTTGAAATGCATTTAAAAGATCGAGATGCAACAAATTAGGCAATACTTGGATGTGAGAAAGTGCATCTTCCCTCAGTTGAGAATTCTGTAGATTCAAGTATTTGAGGTTGAGTAAGGTGTCAAACCAATGTGGCACCTTTTCCAATTTCCCAATTAGAAGAAGCTTCTCAAGGTAAGGAGGAGCTGATAAAAGAGCATCCACCTTTAGTGAAGCCTGAGGTCCTGAAGTCAATGATAAGTGGTGAAGGCGTTCCATCCCGGCAATGGCGGAGCACAAGTCTTGTTCATGAGCTTCTGTTAATCCATCAAGGCCAAGCCTTGTTAATTGTGTCATTTCTTCAAGTCCATTTAAGCCGCCCATTACTGTGACATAGGATAAAACTTGCAAACTCTTTAACATAAAAATGTTTGGTGGTACAAATATGCCCTGAATACTCTCAACCTGAGTACTCTCAAGGCTATCATTTTGATCCATCAAATAGGAAGCCCTTAGATGCCGCAAATTTTGCAGCTTCACAATTTCATTTGGAAGCTTCTTAATTTTGGCATCCTTCAAGTGTAATGTCTGCAAGTTAAAAAGTTTACCTATGGATTTTGGAAGCACCTTCACTTTAGTTCTTGTCAAGTTCAGATATCTCAAATTGAATAAATGTCCAAAATCACTTGGCAGTTCAATGATTGGAGCATTTTCTAAATCCAGTACTTTTAACAACTTAAAACCAGATGGCAATTTATTGAATGAAGATTTCAATATTTCATCAACAACAAAAATAATTAAGGAACGAAGTTGTGATGTACCATTTCCTGGCTTCATTTCTTTATCCTTTACTTCAATTGAGTAGCGATGAATTCCATTTTCTTCTACTCCTGTTTTCCCATCAGATACAGCAACAAGTTTTTCTTCTTTTGATATTATAAGAGCAAACTCTCGTATGAGATCATGCATTTTAAATGCCTTGGGCCTTCCAAAATAATTCCTCCACACGACTTGAAGCAAACTTCGGCTAATGAGTTCCGTTAGGTAGCTCTCAGCAACAGCTTCTGGTGGTACATCTTTAACTTGTTCTAAAAAGCCTTCTGCCATCCAGAGTCTAATAAGTCTTTTTCGAGAAATTGCATAATCTTCTGGAAACATACAGCAGTACAGGAAGCACTGCTTGAGGCGGAAAGATAGATCATGGTAACTAAGCAGTGAGATAGCTTTCACTAACTCAAGTGCAGCGTTGTTGCTTAGCTCCCAATTCAAGTTATCATAAACTCCTCTCCATTCTGCTATTGACTTCTTGGAAGACATCAAACCACCTAGAGCCACAATAGCTAATGGCAGGCCTTCACATTTTTCAACTAGCTTTCTTGCCAAAGAATCAAGATCTGATGGACACCCTCCACGTTCATTTGGAAAAGCTTTTTTACAAAAAAGGTTCCAAGCCTCAATCATTTTCAAGGGCCGAATTTGGTGGACGTAGCTTACAAACCCAGATTGGAAAGGGACTGCATCTTCTCTTCGAGTCGTAACCATGACCCTGCTTCCACACATACCTTCTGGAAGTGCAATATTAATCTCCTGCCAGAATCTAATGCTCCACACATCGTCTAAAACAATAAGATACCTTCTTGGCTGCAGGTACTGCACAAGTGTCTCCACCAATACTTTGTAGCTCATGGTGTCTACCATAATCGAAACTTCTTCATTTGTTTGTTTGTAGACTTCTTTTACCATGGACCTAAACAACTCTTCAATCACATATTGTTTTGAGACAGTGATCCAAGTACAGAAATCAAAATGTTGCTTAACTCTTTGTTTGTTGAAGGTGTTGGCAACAAGAGTAGTCTTTCCTGAACCGCCCATCCCAACCACTGAAATGACAGTCCGTCGGGGTTTTTCATCCATTAGCCATCCCAATAACTCATGTTGTGCCTCTCTGATTCCCACAAGATCATCATCTTTAAAGAAAAGTGATGACTCGCTCAATCTGTTCTTCCAATTAGGATCATAGCAAGAGCCCCTTTCTTCTAGTTGTTGAACTCCAAATTGATGGGCTCTCTCAGTAATTTTATTCATCCTTTTCTTGATATCTTGCAACTTGGCTGCTACTTTATGCCTCACCAACAAATCCTTTGGAAAACGAAGTGTTCGATGGATGACGCTCCATTGTCTTTGCCTGTTCAAGTTATACATGAATTCGTCGATGATGTTTTCTACTGGGTATGCTATGTCCCGCACACTTGCAACCCAAGCCTTTTGTCTTTCACTACTTTCCCCCACTTTATCAGCATCCACGAGAAAAGATCTGATGTTATTTAATAGATGCTTCATATCTTCGATTTCATTAGAAACCCCAGTTAAGGAAGAAGCTTCATTTTCTAGAGCTGAGATGAGTTTGCCAACAAAAAGATCTAAACTGACTGAAGCCATTTTTGTCCAAGCCTCAAGGTCTTCACTGCGGATTTCTCGTTCTAGTAACTTTTGTTTAGAAGCTCTGAAAGAAAAGTCCTCAATGAACAAGAGGGGAAACTGAATCTGCCCAACATAAAATTTATATGAAAAACTTGAGAATTTTTATACCTGGCGAGAGAGGAAGAGGAATATTTTTTTAAAGCAAGAAGAATTTTAATTGATGAAGGATAAATAACCAAGATCATCCATCCCGAATACATAACACAACCTAATAATTCACAAAACCCATAAAGAGTCTACCAACAATAAGAAACCATCTATTCGAGCTTGAAACTTCAATCAGGTCAAATATCAAACATATTGGGAGTTCACACAACAGCAATATATCAACAACCACATCATAACAAATCACAAAAATGACGAAAGACCAAGTATCATGCATCAGTTAATAAGCAAGCACCAGCAACAACAAGTTTTCACACTAAAAAATGATTGCTGCCACCCAACGAAGGCCACCATCACTTGATCCAAATCCATTATCCCACTTATGAAATCCTTGTTCTTTAGAAGTCAAAGAGAAAGAGAATTATACCTTGCAAAGAGAAAGGAGAGTAACAAATGTTGAAGAATCAGGTGGTTGCAAATTGCAATGGCTATGCTCATACTATGTTGCGTGTGACAAATGAGAACTTTTCCAAAGGGTTCTTGACCTGGGAAAAGCTAAATATAACGCTTTCAGGTCAAACGTAGAAGTCCTCCAACAGCTTCAAGGTTTATTACAAGGTAAGTAATAAACAAATTTACTCTTACATTACTATTGTTAATTTGTTTTATATTTATTTTTTCATTTTTTGAGTGAATACATTAACATAATTTGATGCACAACTCTCATCTAATTAAATTCCTGACAAGTTTTAAATTGGAATATGAAAAAAAAAAAAATTAACGTACATATATTTTTGTTTGTAGAGTATTTTTAAATTGACATGTATTTTTTTTTAATTTATAAAATATAATGTTTAGTACAAATGACAAATGCATATTTACTAAACAAAAAGAACATTTTAAGGCTTTTCCATTTAAAAGAAAAAGGTTAACATAATTTTTTCAATGTTTAGTATAATAATTTTATTAAACTTTCAAGGTGTTATATAAATACAAAATATGGTTTAGAGAAAATGAAAATTAGTTTTGCTTAAGGCATGTATTTTTTTTTTTATAAATCCTTAATCTATTTTCCATCTTTCAAATCTTATATGCTTAACTTATACATATAAAAACATTATAGAATTAAATTTATTAAACCCATAATTTTAAAAAATTTAACCAGTCGTGTATTTCATCCAAATTAATATTCTATGACATAAGATAATAATTTATTTATTTAAAGACATTGTACGAGGACATATTGTGTTACAAAAAGTGGCTCAATAATGAAAATCAACCAGCATCGCTGCATATCTCTGATACAAAACAAACGTTCATAAAATAACTGGATTTAGTATCATAAAATGTCGGGTAATTGAATTTTCAAAAACAAAAACTTTCTTTTACCATCTGATAGGTCACGGATATATAGCTAGAAAATCACATTCCCTGCCACTAGGGTATTCATAGCCCTCTGCGAGAACTTTTACAGGAAATGTAGCCAATTACATCTAAAATCTCCATTGCTACACCATGTTATCACGACGTCTTTCTGGACAGGTTCTTCATCCCAGAACCCCAACATTTAAGGATTACCGTCCCCGTGGATGGATCTGGCTTAATCACAAACTGAACATCTAGAAAATCTTTGATTTGTCTGAGTGTTTCTATTCCATAAGGCGAGAGCTTTCCCACACGAACCTTTGAGACATCTTTTGGACAAAGCGCACAGAGAAGAAATAACAAACCCTACAAACCAAACATTCGAGATATGGCTGCTAAGTAGCAGAATGCAAGCGGGGAAAGAAAATGAGGAATAATCAAAAGTCAAAAGAATGCATTGAAATAGTATACCCTCTTATCATTTCAGTAACAAGGACACTAACAAACCATGGGAGCATGCACATTAGCCATTTACAACTGTGTCCCAATACAATGCATTACAACATGCAGCTTATGAACTTTCATCCTTGCTTGGAAGATAAGAAAGAATTATTATAAATAAAAGTTTTGATAAATTCCTTAATAAATGAAATTTAAGCTTCATGACGGCTTTTGATAAAATGCCTCATGGTAAAGCCTAGGTGTCTAGCCCCATGTAAAAATTTAGTCTTTTTGTATAATAAGTCTGTCATGTCTACAAAAAAATTTAAGGTACTACTAAAAATTTTCATTATTATGGCTTAAAAGATTCACACATAAGCTCACAATTTTATTTCCTTGGACACTTGAAACATTTCCAATTCCTAAAAGGAGAAAAAAAAAAGGGAAGAAAAAAAGAAAACAAGGATCGGTAAAAACAGAACAGCCAGAACGCAAATTATAGGATTTAGTAGGAGTGCATGGGCATATTGTTATAAAGATTCAAATAGGAGTCCCTTTCCATGTTGTTGGCCACTTAAAATGTTTTTCCTTTTCTAGTGGGTAAAAGAATAGAAGGAAAAATAAAGGAATGATATGCAAAACAAGCAACCTAAAGGACTAAAGCTCCATCAAAATCAGCAAATTAGTAGAGGGAGAAAACTTTCAAAAGCACAAGAAACACAAAGGTATTTCATGGAATTAAAGCAAATAATGATCTTCATTACTCCTGAACTTAAAAAGGAAGCCTCCTATTTTGCCCCCATAGAAAATTAAGAGTTTTAATGAGCACAATATTCTAAACAAATTTCACATTTTATTTCAAAATTATCATAGGTCACAGTTTATATATACAAAATTATAAGCAATATAAGCAGTTAATTTAAAATTAAACCATTTAATTCAATGTCAGGTCAATGGAATAAAGTACTTTGAAATACAAACCTGGTGAGTTGAATCCACCACTCCACCTTTCTCAATTTCTTCGAGAAGAACAGAAGCAATTTGCTCACCAAAATCAGCTGCAGGAATCAGCTCTTTCTTGTCCTCACCTTCAATATCATCTTCTTCTTCCCCTCGTGGATAAGAAACTGTAGAATCAGCAGAGATGCAGCAACCAGAAGTAGTTTCGGCAATTAGTGAAATTCCATATCCAGGTGAGCTGCATTAAGAAAAAAATTTTGAAAATTTCTAATTATGTTCAAAAAAGAAATTTTGAAAAAAAAAAAAAAAAACGGTAACCATACTTTCCAGCCTCTGAGCGTTTTCTATAATCACTAGCGATATAAACATCTGGAAGCAAACGATTAAAAATTCCACGAGCAGCATATATCATCTCATTTCCAAGCTGAACACTCACTCTAGTAGTGAAAGCTTCCCCTCTAATTCTCTTAACCATTCCTTCATCAATCCACATGGTTGCCTGTAGCAGAGAGTATAAGAAATACCATAAACAAAAAAGTTGAAGTTAATAAGATTAAAAAAAAAAAAAAAACCTCACTGTTAGTTGCTGAACAGTAGGAACTGTCAAATGAACTTCACCACCACCATGAGGTGAAACTCCGCGACTCTTTATTTCCAACTTCAATCCTTCTGAAGGAACCCCAAAACGCTTCAACATGGGAAAGGTGGTGGAACGGAATGTATCGACAGAGGGGTCCTTAGCATCATTAGTAATCCCTGAAAATAGCAAAATAAGGAATGACAACCTCTTTACATTTGTATTACAATAAGAAAATAATATGCACTGACATTACATGAAAAGCACTGCCAAGTTTAAGAGAGGATAATTCAATACAAATTCACATGTATTGCCTCATTGAATAATATAAGGGTTCTTTATTTTCTTACCATAGGTCTAGAGAAGTTATTAAAAGTAGTCATATCCTATGCATCAACTCCTCTATTCTGTCAGTTCCACCTATGACACTCGTTTTCACACTTCGAGACACACATACATATCTACAGAACCCACGAAAGCAATAATTTTCACATACTGCCATTAACTCAAACTCCTAACTATAAATCATTATACAATGCACAATAATGCCGCAAAAAAAAAAAATGTGACATTCTATCAAGGAGTATATAATACAAAATTTTTTTTAACCGAAAAACAAAGAACCCCCCCCCCCCAAAAAAAAAGGCAAAAGTTCGAAATTCCAACTAAAAGAGCGTACCTTTTAGGATTATATAGAGGGGCTTCCTAGCAAACAATCCAAGCAAAATCAAAGGCTCCAAAAAATACCCAATTGCTCTACTAACACCGCAATCATGCACCAGATTACTCCCTCCCACTATAATCCCAGGCTTGTACTTCAATTTGGTACCTGTCAAAAAGTTATTGCTAACCTTATATACAACCCTTTTTGTTAATTATTTTCAGTTCAAAAGGTAAAAGCCCAGAAAAAAAAAGTGTTACCAGTTTCGTTGATTTCAATGTGGCAGTCATCGGTGAGCTTTTCAAAGAGACGGAGGAGGGAAATCTCGTGTGGTCGGAGACCCGGTAAGGTGTCGTCGGCGTGGATGTCTTCTATGAGAATCGGAGTTGATTTCAGAGTGGCTAAGAGCAGCCTTTGCCTCATGTTTAGGCTTCCCCTCAGCCTCTTGTACGTTATTTTCCCCATTTTTTTTCCTTCTTCCTGCTTTGCTCTATTGAGAGAAAGACAGGCGAGGGTTTTGGTTGAAGAGAAAATTAAAAATTCCCTGTTTTGCTTTGCGGGATTTTTTAAACCCTAAAACCAAAACGCTGATTCGGTAAAAAAAAAGTGGGTTTTGTTTTGGGCTGACTTTGGGCCTAGAATGGATTATTTACAAACCCAAACACAAAGCCAACTCCATTGCCGACCTAAAGCCAATAGTCGATGATATAATTTCTCAAAAAAAAAAGAGTTAACAATATCAACTAAATTCGATTGACATGAAATATGAAAAGGTCCAAACTTGATAATTTATGTTATCCGATTTAATCCAACCCAAATTGTTTTCAAAAGTCAATGCAGCCATGAACTTGATCGGTCAGACTTGGTTTAAAGCTTCAACCAGGACAACCCAAAATTGTTCAGTTCAGCCATGCATCCCAGGTCTCTGGAGACTGGAGAGCATTCGATCTGAAGTGTTGAATTTCTTTTGATTGTTAAACACCACCAGGTCAAATAGGGTAAGAAATCAATTTTTCCTTTTTCTTTTCTTGTCATAGTAAAACTATGAGTGTTATATCTATATATCTCTTTGGATCTAAATGATTGAGTCTTGTTTGAATCCATTTTATTTTAGCAATACATACATATATATATATATATATATATATTTATGGACGTCTAATACCCACTCGTTACCTTTTCTTTACTTAATTTTTTCTCGTTTTTCATCTCTTTATCAAGGTTGACATAGACCAATTTGAGCTTCAAATGTGTCACATGGAAGATGCAAAAATGGTCTCTTTACGCAATATGAAAGCTTTTAAAAATATTTAAAGATTGACACAAATGGAACAGGTGACTGTAAATATAATAAAACTTCTGAAAAGTTTACGTTTTTTTTGTACATAAAAAAAGTTAATACATTTTATTGTACATGGCTATAATTCATAGAATCTTGTAACCTAGATAGAAGTACTCATATTGAGATCTTCACATTCAAAAGAAAACAAATTATAGGCGATATTGACTTAATTGAACCAAATCCAAATATATTCATTTAAGAAATTAACTAATTAAAATTCATATAGTGCATAAACAATTAACCCAAAGGCAATAGAACAAGATGTAAACTGTGTTTGGACTCCATTATCTATGTTTATGATTCATAATTGTTAGTTCAATAGTATTGATGTTAAGTTGGAATCCAATTGCAATACATTAGACAAAAAAAGTTCACTTATGTTTATAAAGAAAAGGATTAAAGTCTCCAAGGTCAAAAAATTTTAGATAAAGAACAAACCTATAGTGATAAGGCATTTGCAGCACATATAGTACTATATAGAACCATAATTTCCAAAGAATAGTTACAAAATTCTCATGGAAAGTGTCTCTTTATAGACAATATTTCATGCCTATTATATTTGTATAATTCAAATTTAGTTGCATGGAGATCTGCTTTGATTTCGCCCCCATGCCTGTTTCAATCTATCTACACCAAAGAGAAAAAAGGAGCGCCAATCTCAAGAAGATGGATGAGAAGATAACAAATTAGAAGGAATACAAGAAGGGTTCCTCCAAACCCTAGAGTGCAATTTCAGGATCTCCCTTGCTTTCTCCTTGGTCTTGTAACTGCTATCAACTTGAAGCACCAAACATAGCTTAGCCACCACACCAAATTGCAGCATTTCCTGAAGAACCCTAGATGTTGCTGAAAACCTGCAGATTGAGGATATAATCCTCACTGCCCTGTCGCTTGCCACATGGGAAACCCTGAATATTTTCTTCGAGACAATAGCTAGCCCTGCTCCGTGCTTCAAAAACTCTGCTCTCCCTTCGGCACAACCACAAAGCTGATATAACACAATCAAAGCAAGTTCTGAAGCCCTCTTTTCGGAGGTTTCGAGAAGAAGATCGATCAACACAAACACTGCACCACCTTCTACAGTCTTGATCCTGTTTCTTCCCCAGGGACAAAGCTCCACAAAGAGTTTCAATGCTGTCTTGGAGGCTTGCTGCGAGATCTGATCACGCAAAGTACGTACTACTTCGGCAAAGAATTCAGGTGTAACGCTGATCAATTGGATTGGATCTGCCACTTCAAAAATATCCTTCAATAGCATCATGGCGTATGCTCGAGATTGGTAGTTGCCATTTTTCAGGACTCGCACTACAGACTCTAAAAATTCCTTATCATTGCTAATAATGCTCCTTAGAAAGCTTTCGGAGACCTTGATATGATAAAGAATACTCAATGCTTCATCGCTAGCTTTTATAAATTCTGACCCTTCTTTGCCCTCCGCTTCAAGTAACGTAGAATCATAACTCTTGATGATTGATATCAGGAATTCAACTGCATCCGCGGCTTCCAGGCAGCTTCTGTTTCTCTCACCTTCAAGCGTGATTGATCTGAGCCTTTTAAGGCATTTGAGTTGCATCTCAGGGGATTTTTTCGCATCTTTAAGGAGCTTGGCGATCTGGGTTTTGTCGATTGGCGGCTTTGGTGTTGGGATTCTTTCGATTCCACGGGAAGCATTGAGAGTGCACCATGCCTGGATCAATCGACGAAGAGTGTGATTTGGGGTTAGATCTGGATCGTGCAACACTTGTTTCGTAACCGGGCACGCCTTCTTCTTGCATGAAAATAACCATTTCTCTATACTATCTCGATCATACGTTATTCCAGTTGAGATCGTAACAGGATCTCTCATAAGTTGAAGAGAAATTGGACAAAGAAAATGGCGAGAAATCTCAATTTCATCCATTTTTCTGAGAGCTACTAAATCTATCAAACCCGGGCAAACAAAGCCTGGATTCTTAAAATGAAAAGGAAAAGGAAAGTACTATACGCTAAAACAAACAAAAACTAGCTTTAATGGAAGATATGATGCCACATAAGGGGGAAAAAAAGGAAAGAACTGTTAATGGAATGAATTGAATGAAACGTTACCCCAAATCTGCCTGAAGTCTTAACACTTGCCAAATTGGGCTGGTGGGGCAGAGGATAGACTCTTTTATAATAAGTGGAGAGGAGAAAAGGGAAGGCAATGCGAGCTGTTCAAAATCAATAAAAAAAAAAGTCAACACACGCAAAATTAGACGGAGAAAGAGAGGGGAATTAATTTCCAATGTTTTGGAAGCTGAAGAAAACTCAAAAACCCTACTTCCTGTCTCTGGCATCGAATAAAAAACTCAAAGACTTTAGGTTTACGGCATTAAATGAAACGAATGGGGCTGGGCTGGGGGCTTGGGGAGAGGCGTCGGTGTTGCAATGGCCACTCGATAACCCTTATTGGGACTTTGACTTTCTCTCTCTATTACTTACAAGTTTATATACAAATCAAATAAATAAATCCAATAAACATTATTAGTGGTAGCTTTTTTCTTATTTTTTTTAATCTGTATAGATCGTGACTGTTGAATGGCTGGTGCCGACAGCTCTTTATGGGGCTCATGGTTGTCTCCCTACGCATTTTCTTTGGCTGCTCCTCCTTTAAGAATTCCATTTATTTCTACTTTAATTTGTGTACTCAACAATCAAGAGTAAAGCTGGAAGTTTTACTTGAGGGATGGGGTCAATTGAAAAGGATTGAAACCCATTTTTGTTGGGAGTTTGAGTTGTTGGTTAAAACTAGGATGATCCATCGTTATTTGTCTTTTGAGTAAAGCTTAATGCCGTTACCAATTTAGAACCTTAACATTTGTGCCAACCGCACAAATCCACGTGAAGGAAAACAAATAAATAAGTAAATAAAACTTGCAGATCTATATTTGTGGTACTCTAATTAATTAGTCCCTGTTTGATTTCCAAATTTCCAATTAATCACTAATAAATTCCCATGTGGATCTTCTATATATATATATATATATATATATATATATTATTTGTTGCAAAGGAGGGCTAGTGCCCTTACAAGGGAAGAAAGGGGATAGCGGGATCGAACTCACGCTTACATGACTTTCAACCCGTCACTTAACTTGTCATATATATGTTTTGTTTTTGTTTTTTGACCATTCTTCACATTAGAATTTTGTTTTTCCTGTAATTTTTTGAAAATTTTACGGATAATAAGAGAGGGTACTTATTTCTTACACATTTATCTTTTGTTTATTTCGTACATGTGTTATAAGGTTTCAACTTGAGATGAAAATGTGGTTAATTTTACTCATAAAATCTTTTCCTTATGTACCTATTATATTAATCTTTTCATAGTTGTGCTACGTAAGCAAATTACCCTCTCTTAGTTTATGAAAAATGGAGGACCACTTACATAAATTAGCAATCTATATATCTATTTTATTGTTATAAATATATATATATATATATATTCATTTAATGGTTAGTGCATATATGCCTTTTCGTCTCTCAATCAACAAGGTTTCAATATATCTATCCTTTCTTCCCCAAAATAAACAAAAAGAGAAAAAGGAAAATTACTTTTTTTGGTATATATGAATTGAGATTAGATATTACACTAAAATGTAGATCTCGAAGCAAGCTTCATTAATTTCAATAATGAAATGGGGAATTGGACATTACCAAAGTACATGAATATTAACCGAAAGCACAACAATATTGTCTAAGTGCAAATTGCAACTTGTACCGTTGCATCCACCCCTACTACTTCCTTGAATTGGAAATAAATAGGATATGTAAAAAACACACTTTTGAAAATAGAAAGTACCATAATAATTCTATTATGGCGTTCTCGACGCTCCAAACCATTGGCAAAAGCCTACATTATCAACGAAAATGGACCACCATTCAGTCTCCATTAAAGCTTTTACAAAGTACCTAGCACCAATATTTGTTATTTATATTCAACCACCCACCACGGCAAATGTCATGAATTGCAGTCATTGCATTCTTCAATGAAACATTAATATTTCTCTAACAACAAGTCGTGTCCGATCAGCCATAGACTTTAAAGTTACTGCTACCGAATTAATTGGAAGTTGATATGATAACATTGTTCATGGCTTCATGCATGAGCCATGACCATCTTTCATTAATCTGAACAAGTAAGAACTCTAATTTCCCCTTATGGTGTAAAAATTTGTGTACTTGCTAACCTCAATTCTGACAGAGGTATGTACGTGGTTTACCAATAAGCCTGTTGTTCCTCAAATTTTGATAAACAAAAAAGTTTCTAGCATTTAAATCAATAAGAGATGCATATGTTCCATATTCAAAGAGGGAGGTTAGAATTTTTTTTTTTTATAATAAAAAGAAAGCCAAAAGTAACAAACAAATCTTTCATATAAAATGATTAGCCCTCATATTTTTATTTCAATTAAATAAAATACTCCTAATTGCCAGGAAGAATTTGTTCTTTTTTACAAATTTGATGTTGTAATTTATACTTAAATAAATTCTTAAAATTTTAAATTGTATTTAAATAATTCTTTAACTTTTAATCTATATCTATATAAACCCTTAACAAAAAGCAATCTTTCGTTTGAATATAATAACTTATTTAAATACAAATCAAAAGATAAAAACTTATTTAAATATAATAAATATATAAAAACTTATTTAAAAAAATAAAATTATTCAAAGGCGTTTTTAATATTTTAACAAAAAAAAAAAACCATTATAAAAGAAGGCCACCACTCTGTACTCTGTTCAATGGGCCCAAATTTCACGTGGGCTAGTATTAGGGCATTGTTCTGGTTGACCCAATCTGCATGCTATCTAGGTATGAATGTGACAGGTCTTGAATCTCGAGTGAAAATTTTTTTTTTTTTCTCACAGAGAAGGCTAATCACAACGGGAAAAAAATCATATGAATAATAGATGAATTTATTCTAACAATTTATATAACAAAAAAAAATTAAATTCACTCTCAAAATTCATCTTTTAATAAGTATCAGAACAAAATTAAGAGAGGTAAATAAGAGATGTTAAATCTTGGATGTTAAAAATTAACTTCAGTTAATAACATTAAGTTATTGGTAAAATTTAAATTTAAAATCACTTATGTCGTGACCTTGATCTACATTTTGTAAGAAACTAATTATCCATTTTAGATACTTCCAAGTAAACATAAAAGAAAATTTATCGATTATTCAAACACGTGGGAACATATGTGCCAATGTTAATTAATTAGTTCATATCATCACTTTTAAAACTTTTAAAACGTAATCATATCTAAAAGTTAATCAAATTATATCACACATCAATTGGACATAAAATGATCCATTAATCGCATCAAATTCCAGTTATGGTGCAAGCCAATACCCCAGCACAATAAATGCCCTAGTGGTGTCTTGTAACGAATCCCGACATGTGTACGAATGATGGGTCGGCGGGTGGACAAGATCCAACCGCAACGCCTCCATGCTCGGCCCCCACTACCTCCTCGTCACCTCCATCCACTTTCCTTCCTTCCCCAAAACTCATGCCATGTCTTGTGGTTCACTGTCCCTTGCATTGCTTCAATGTTCCGTGTGTAGGATTCCATGATAGATATACATATATACAAGCCACAATATTTATGGCACAAACAAAAAATACTACATTTTGATCGTCACATGCCATTTTCGTTTTGGATAACGTTCTCATTCAGGCCATGCATGCTTTAGGGATCATTGGAAATATGGAATTATATATATATATATATATATATATATATATTATATGGAACCTATTTTGTAAGTAAAATATGTGGGGCATGAGAATCCCATTAAATTAAAGAGAGTGTCGTCATGTCAAACATAAATTAACAAAAAAACAAATGGATAGAAATGCATCAATTGGTTAACATTTGGATTAGTATCATTTGTCCCTGAAAAAAGTTAATACTTAATATGATAAGACTTAAACAAATAACTTGTCTCCGAAGGAAGTATTAATGATTTTGTTTTTCTATTTGTGTTAAATCACAAACAGCATAATTTAAAAAAACAATGTGAATCAGTGAATGTGATGTGATTAAAGGAAGTGCAACGAAAAAAGATTCTTGTCAAACGAATGCTAAGGCTTTTCTCTCGTGCATATTACGCCTTCAAAATTGCTAAACAAACCCATGAAAGCAACCTTGGTGGTATAAAGTTCGTCATTCAGTGCTCTTCAAACTATTGGATTTGATTTTTTTTTTTTTCGACTTTTGGATTTGTTTTCGTTCAAGAGATAAAAAAGACATGCAAAATTAGGGAACAAAGCTTTCCATCATTTCTGAATAAAATGAAAATTGGAGTTCATTCACACTACTTAGCCTTGAAAGTAAAGGAGTGTCTTCAAAGATATTTGTTCTAAATTTTTCATTCAAAGATATTTTTAATTTTATTTAAATTTAATTCTCTCTTATTTTAAGAATGCACTTCCATATAGACTTAATATTAGATTTTTTATGAAAGGTAGTCAATGCCCATTAATCATGCATAAAATCTAATGAAGGTATATCTTATAATAACCAATTAGAATAAGGGTATCTTATTATAGGAAACAGACTGGCGGATAAACCTCTAATAACTTTGATAATAATGGCCACTTATTTAGCATATATAAGTATGTAACATGCAAGAAAGAAATTGTTAGACAAACAAGATTCCACTTGATTAAGCTTATCACCAAAATAACAAGATGGAAAAACTACTGTTAATTGAATAACCTAAAGTTGACATATGTAACCCACAAAAAAAAAAAAAAAAAAAAAACTTGGAATAGCTAGACTTAGTAATATACCAAGATTATGCTATAGGCTGGCCACCAATTTCCCAAGTGGTCAGTGCTGTTGGTTTATTCCCATGATTAGAAAAAGGCAAACTCATAAGCACTGCTGTTCTTACCGTCAAAACAAAGACAGGTTAATTGGAGAATATATAGATGAATATTCTTAGGTTTTTAATAAAAATTTTAATTAAAAGTTCATTTGTGATTGAAATTTGATTATTTATTTAATGATAAAAATTTTGATATAAAAATAATTATTTAAAAAATATATTACTTTTTTTAAAAA